TGGTGTTATTATTTAATATATGAATATATCTCTTATTTTTTATTAATTGTTTTAAACATTAAATTATTTATATTAATGTGTTTTTATATTGTTATATAATATTATAATATTTTATACTAATAATAATAATAATAGCATAGTAATAATCGGGAAGCACGTATACATTTTGTAATATATTTTGTAATACAATGTAAAAAATAATATTTTGTAATATAATATAAAATTATAATTTTATTTAATACATTAATTAATAACAACAGTAATATTTCATAAATAATGTTATTATTATTATTATTATATTTCAAATTTAAAAAAACATTGTGGTTGGTAAGATTTTGTAATTATTTTTTTTTTAAGTCTCTTATGTTTGCCAAGGCTGCATTCATTTGATCAAAAATACAGTAAAATCAGTAGTATTGTGAAATATTATTTCTTCTTATTATCAATGTTGAAAACAGTTGTGCTGCTTAATATTTTTGTGGAAGTTGTGATACTTTTTTCAGTATTTTTGCTGAATAGAATGTACCAAAGAACAGCATTTATTTGAAATACAAATCTTTTCTAATATCATACATGTCTTTTTACTGTAATTATTAATTGGTTTAATGTGTCCTTGATGAATAAATGTATTACTTTCTTTCAAAAAAATCAAAAATAAATAAAAATTCATCGTGCCCCCAAACTTTTGAATGGTAGAGTAGGTTGCTAGTTACTAAAGTTGAGAAAACAGTGAATTTCCTGAGCTGTATTTCCTTCTCTTTTGTCAGGCCATCCTCCTGAGCAGTGATGGGCAAAATCTAGTGACTGGAGGAGATAACGGGGTGGTGGAGGTCTGGCAGGCCTGTGACTTCAAGCAGCTGTATGTCTACCCTGGCTGTGATGCCGGCATCCGAGCCATGGACCTGTCACATGATCAGAGGTCAAACTTTATAAACCTTATACAAAGTTTATACTTACACCACACAGAGACAAACTATACAAACAAATCCTAAACTGGTTTAAACCTGACTCTGTTTTCAATGTTTCCAGGACTCTGATCACAGGCATGGCGTCTGGCAGCATCGTGGCTTTCAACATTGATTTTAATCGCTGGCACTTTGAGCATCAGAACAGGTACTGAGAGCGATCAGCCAGTGACGGCCAGCTGCAGCCTCGAACGGTAACGTGCCATTACGGGAGGTGATGTAGCAAATAAACATGGAATATGGATCAAGAAATGACACAATGCTAGTTGGAGAAATCACAGCAGTTTAAGTGTGGTAACCTACACTGAGATCCAGCTGCTTACACGTGTCTCAAAAAATGCACAGGAGCAGTTGACAGATGACAATTTCAAAATGAATGGAGAGAGCACAGAAGGAGGCCAGTTTTTCATCACAAATTATTTTATCTAATTGTCATCTGAACCAACAATAGTCTTGTCAAAAACAGCCTTTTTACTCGTAGTCCCGTCATTTGAACTGTAATCGTGACACTTTGCATAGAGAACCAATAACAATATTTTTATGAGGTTTATTTTCTACTGGCTTGCAGCATATTTCACTTTCTCTAGGTTTTTTTTCTTTTTGGCCCTTGGGAAAGAAAAGCTACCTGAACAATAAATAAGTAAAAGTCCTCCCTCTGCTGCTGAGCTCATGAATGCAAATGCTATACAACTTCTTTTAAACGTGTCTGTGAGGCTGCTTTCTGAACTATTCTGCAATTGAATTCTGTTTGTCCTGTTTATGCGTTTGACATCATCAGATGCTTTTTGATATGATTACAAAGAGAGAGAAAAAAGAAAAGCTCTTTTGTTTAATGTGACGTCCTGTAATGTTTGTTCACTCATCCTCCTCACGTGAGGATGAATGGTTTGTCTGTTGTGGATGTATTTCATTTCAGATGTGTGATGTATGCACCATTAAAGACAAGCACTAAATGAGGGTTGGCGCTGATGCTGCATCTGTGCAAATATTGTAATTCTTGTGCAGTTTTATCATTTAAAGTCATACATGGCTTTACACAAACGGTGAGGTGTTTAGACTGGTATTTGCACCTATAACTGGTTTTTATTTGGAATATTTTCTCATTTGCATACACCAAGCTTTGTACATCTCAAAAACAATTTTTGGTTTTCACATGGTCAGAATATTAGGATGAAGGGTGTGCGATAAATATTATTTGTTATATTCCTTTACTGTCTTAAATTGTCTACTGGCACCTTTCAGAATTGCACTTGTAAACAGAAAATAACATTGTAAAATCACCGCTGTAAGCAATACATTATGTATGATGTATGTGCATCTTTGATTCTCTTACATAATGTAAATCAAATCTATAACTCAGAGTTTATGAATCAAAAAAATCTAAACTATTTTTAATTGTTTTTGTGCAAATATGTGAAATATTCTGCTGTAAGAAGCAATTTTTTTTTTGCCAATCCACACAATAAATATGGTGCCATAATTAACATTTTATTTACAAGAATAGATTTAGATTTGATATACTGAGCATTGGTTATTTGTAAAACCTTAAAAATGAGTTTACCTTAGTGTCATATGTTAAAATGCCTCAGATTTCAAATGTGATTATTGAAATCGAATTTGATTTGATTATTCGATGAGAATAGTTTCCATCAGGAACATTGACATTGCAAGTGAAGGTGCCTGCTAATTCAGCAGCTATGCTTAAGTTGGTTACTTTTTAGTTAAAACTGTTCAGTATGTCCTAGTGAATCATTGTGATGAGAGAAATGTATTTGCCTACTTTTTATTTATAATAAAAAATATCAAATGTACTGCATTGAGTACTGCTCCCTTGCATCAGTGCATACAAACACACTACATGTGCATTTGAGAACAGCAATACTTTCCGTCATTTAATCTGCTTGATTAGGACTTCTTTACATTCATGTGCCTCATAAGCTTTTTGGACAGTCACGGAAACACCGCACCTTGCCGTTTTATCATTTGAGGGGAAAATATCAAATGGTGACAGAAACAGGGAAACATGCATAACAATGAGAATCTCCTATACTAAATATCATTCTCAGTAAATTGAAACTGACCTTAAAAAATAAAAACACGGGTTTCTGCTTGAGGAATCATTTATTCACAGGTTTGGCTTGTTGCTGAATGCACCACTGTTCAATGCTACTTGGAAGCAAAGACTCTTCCGCCAGTAAGAAAGTCAAGCCTAAATGACATTTGATGGGAAAGACAATAGACAAGCGATGGATATACATCTATACAAATATACAATATGTTATCAATGCTTCTGCACTGAATTTTGCATATGAGCTAGAATATTTCCTATATTATAATGAATTGATCTACATCCTGTTGATCATGGATTGGGTTCTAGTCTAATTTTGACGAGCAAACACAGCAGATACATTTTTAATTAAAAAGCAAATACATGCTCATACTTTAAAGAACTACTCTTTTCGCCTTTGTGCTTTTCACCCCTTCATAGTGTCACCTGAAGCCTTTCATGCTGGAGGCTTCAATAAGCTGTATAACAACGTTAAATACTGAGAAGCACAAACAGTCTTCACTGAAACTAGTTGCTTGTACTGTAGATGGGGTCAACATGTCTTGATGGTAAAATGATTATCACTCACACTCAGATCACATGCAAGACAAACACACTCGGTCCTTTACAGTGTGTGCAAACTCCACAAAACACCACATAAAGGAATGAAAATGTACTGTATAAATAGATAAGACATTTGGAGTCCAGACATGGCCGAGCAACAGAAACTTAATAGCTAAGTTTTGTGTATATAATGCAGCTATAACTGCTATGCTGGGTCCCACTTTATTTTAGGGTATCTTTAACGTCATCCATCTTTAAGTACTTCTAGCAGAAAAATTATTGTTTGGTACAATGTACTTATTGTGTTCATGTTCTATTGCAAAACACTTTTGCTGCTATTATGAATAAACTGCTTTAAAAAAACGTACTTAGTTATGTTAGTTCATTAAAATAATAACACCTACAATCCCTGCCGGTACCAAGACTCGAACCCACGACCTTCGGGTTACAGAATTGCCATTCGGCCATGGCTGCCCCCAGAATAAAACTCAGAATTGAGATATAAATGTGCAATTCTGAGAAAAAAACAAGAATTGTGCAATTCCAAGCTTATCTCACAATTCTGATTTTGTTTTCCACATTTCCAAGTTTACATATCTCAATTCTGCATTTATCTCACAATTCTAACTTTTTCCCCATAATTCTGAGTATATATCTTACAATTCCAACTTTTATTTCCTCAGAATTTCGAGAAAAAAGTCAGAAATGTGAGATGAAAAGTCGTAATTACCTTTTTTTTTTTTTTTACTATAATTTTTTTTTTTAAATCCATATCTATGGAGGAAACGAGCATCATTCTGTTGTGTCATATTTGGCCATCGTGTGACAAAAACAACACCATACATTCAAATTAAAATTGACAAAAAAAAAAAAATTCTAAAATCTGTCTAAAATATTGCATTCCACTAAAATAAGACGAATATGTACAATTTTAGTCCAAATGTACTCTTTAAAATCAGTAGTGGACATTTAGTGTGTATACTTTTTAAAATAAAACTCTAATCGTACATACTGTTCTGAAAATTAACACTTGCTCTGAGAAGGAATTCAAATTCTAGGAAGTAGCTGTTCGATCTTCATGACAAATAGTAGTTGACAGAACTGAATTTACAGCTGAAGAGATTATTATAGCAGCAGCAAGAACTGACAAGTTTCTAATCATTGAACGTCATACGTGTTAAGTAAGCACCCATCACTTGGATTGCATTAAGTTCAAACAAGCATTTCTACAGCCACATACATCAAAAAGAGCTTCAACTATTCGGGCATTTTACACATTTTAGAAAGAGCATTCTAATGTCTAACCAACAGACAGAAAACATGTTTTTCAAAGAAAATAAGGCTGAAATACGCAAATATAAGTTATCAGTTTGAAATAAATGTTCAAACCTAAAATATTTAAAATATATAAAGTTCATACAAAAGGTAAAAAACTCACGTAAAAGATTTTGTCACTGAAAGAAAATATGTTAAGACATTGCAGGTTTATTATAAGTATTAAACACACGATCATGTGTGTGATAACTAGAAACAGAGCGGGAGGTTTGGCTGCATTACTTTCTATCAAACACTAGAGGGCGTCAAAGAGTAGGATGGTCTACAAACAAAACCTCATATAGCACCAAACGGTAGTTATGAAGAGAAAACTCTTAAACAATGACAAGGGCTTCTCAATTCGGATGAATAACTGTTAAGAGAGTGAGATTATTTTTACACCTGTTCAGGTGTGCTACCCTCACAGAATTTGAACAGAGAAAACCAGCCCATCCAGTCCTAGTTAACCACATCTGCTCCACCACGTAACAAACATTAATTTTCAAAAACTGTCATCTTTTGCTATACACAAGCCGATTTACCTTTTCTTTCTAGATCATTTTCCATTGATTCCTGTGCTTAAAACGGTGATGTGGGTGAGCGGACCGTTTCGGCCGAGCTGGGGGAAATATCCTCTGACTCGGAGGTGAACTCTGCTGGAGAGAGGGTCGGGCCGGTGGCGGGGCTGGAGGGGAAGGTGCTCTGGGTGCTGCGGGGAGCAGCCGCTTTCACATCCTGGTGGCGTCTTCGTCTGAAAACCTGCCTCTCCTTATCAAGAGGGGTGGTCTGAGGAACACGAGAGCATGGGACAGTGAATGACTGCTCAGGAATGAATGCCACTAAACAATAACACAGAGCAAAGAAAGGGAAAAGTGAAGCACTGACAATCAGAATTTAGCAAAGCACCACCAGAAAGCAAAAGCTACGCAGAGACGAACTGAGAAGCATTAATGGCAAAAAGCAACGCATCACCCCACTTTATAACTCGAGGCACAGAGTGTGAAAGGAAAGGGACTATGGAGACTGCCAGCACGTTGCCATGGAAACACTGTCGGTTTGGGCTGCTCTGTGGGGCATACCTTATCCAATACATCCCTGGGTGCGGGTAGCAGTCCAAAGACCCTGAACGCTTGATGGTAAACCCCTCGTCCGGCTGAGCAGAGAGAAATGATTGGAACTCAATACATCAGATTTTTACTTTCACCGTGCAAAACAGCACAAGCTTTGAGCCAAGAGGTGCTGTTAAATAATGGCATTATATTTAGAGGTAGTTCTACAAAACAAGAGCAGGGAGTAAACCAAGTGCTTATAATGGTCCACTAGTTCTACATATAGAAACACTCAGTGTGGGAAATAAAAACAACTATGTTTGAAGCTAATGAAACAGTAATCATGCAAAGCAATGTGCAAATAAAGCAAAACATAAATACGTATATATGGGGTCAGTAAGACATTCATTAAAATTCATAGTTTCATCAAAAATATTAAGCAACACAACTGTTTTCAACATTGATAATAATAAGAAATGTTTCTTGAGCAAATCAGAATTTTAGAGTGATTTCTGAAGGATCACGTGACACTGAAGACTGGAGTAATGATGCTGAAAATTCAGCTTTGCCATCATATGAATAAATTACATTCTAAAATATATAAAAATAGAATGCAGTTAATTACATTTTAATAATATTTCTCAATATTACTGTTTTTACTGTATTTTTGCAGCCTTGGTAAGCATGAGACCTCTTCCAAAAACATTTTTAAAAAATCTTATTGACCCCAAACTTTTGTACAGTATAAATGTGTGTATGTATGTATTCTAATGATTTTTGGCATAAAAGAAAAATCAATAATTTTGACCCATACAATGTATTTTTGGCTATTGCTACAAATATACCCCAGCGACTTAAGACTGGTTTTGTGCTCCAGGGTCACAAATATCAAAACAAAGTAGAAATATTTTGAAAGAAAATGTTTTGTTTAAATTTTGTTGACATATGGATGTAGTGTGTGTAATGTTATGTAATTGCCCTACATAAAGAAAGCATGTATGAAAATATAAAAATAGGAATCTTGAGTGTCTAATTGGATACAGTCCCTGACAACAGTGCTGACAGTCATTATATAAGCAGAGTACAGAATCAGAGGAAGAGATGTCACAGCCATAAGAAAGCAGTAGGATGGAATCTGCCAGGAGAGAAGAGGAATGAGAGAAGAAGAGCTGATGGATGAGTCAGCGAAGAGCTATGAGATAAGAGCACAACCTCCAGGATAATTTAATACCTCTAACTATATTTAAGTAGATTTTATTATAGCAGATCCAACTGCAGACCTTTTTAAGGGTTTGTTCCAAAATACTTGAGGGCTATTCAAACTCAAAACAATGTGATTGCATGTCATTTTTTCATATCAAAACTATTCAAAATGCAAATGTCACTCTCAGAGAAAAGTACATATGCCTGAACAAGAGGAAAAAAACAGTGCAGTCATTCACATGCTTTGATGCCAGGTACAATCCATCATGAAATAGTATTAGATATGATATCACTCTTTTTGGAATAAAGTAGCAAAATTAAAACTGGACACCTTAAAGTTATGGCTGCTTATGAAGTGATCCTTAGTGCACCAATATTTTATTTTAGTATATTGGGCTTTAATTAATGTGGGTAATATTAATTGACAAAAATATATATACACATTTAAACATAAGAGCTAAATAGGCGACTCTTACTGCTATGACAGTGACTCCTGCTGTGGTGTTGTTGGGTTTGGGGCCCATGTTGAAATGTTTCTTAATCTTGCCGGCCACAGACAACTGGTGCTGATTCTCACACATCCTGTCATCCTGAGAAAGAGCAGAAACAGTACCTCCACATATCAGTTTCCTACTAGTAGTCTGAGAATAGCACATACACTTAAAAAAAACTGATAAAGTCTTACATTGACCCAGGGATGGTCTAACACCTGGAGAGCTGTGTATCTCTGTTCGACCTCCACCTGTAGCATGCAGGTAATAAGTGCCTGTAGAGAAAGGAAGTAAAAAAGAAAGAGAATGAGGTTTATTTTCCTTTCCGGAACTTTCAAACTTTGTTTTAGTATACCGACCTTTGCAGAGTCAGATACATTGTCCCAGTATGGAAGAGGGAAATCCAGCTGTCCCATCATAATCTGGTCAAAAAGAGCCTCCTGATCATCTGTGCTCCTAAAAGAACAGATATGCAAAATGTTTTTGAATATTCATGAATATTTATTGTGCTATTACATTTAGGAGTGAAGGTACGACTTCCATCCTCTGCAGATGTGCAGGTCAAAACAGAATTACAGAATACGGCCACTAGAGGGAGCGATACATGTATAATATGAGCTGTAAAGTTATCTAAATTGAACTCGTATTGACCCCCATAATAAAAGTTACATGCTTAACTTACAACAATGCTGTGCTTACCCACGGAAAGGAGGGAAGCCACAAAGCAATATGTATGTTATGACTCCGGCCGCCCAGATATCAACTTTCAATCCATACCTATAACATGAAGAGAAAAACACAACATGATAGCACTCTTTAAGTTTCAGACCAGTGAATACAGCCCCTGATCTTTAAAAGCTTTGGTTATGCTCTGTTATAATAACATTGCCATGCTAATGAAGACATGACTTACCCCGTCTCTGCGACAATCTCTGGAGCTACATAGGTCGGGGTGCCACATATAGTGTAAAGCGGACCGTCCACAACTGTTGCCAAGTTCAGCTTTATCTCACTGGTAAATTGGTAAAAAAAAATTTTTAAAAATCGTAATCTTTGCAGAGTCAATTTACAGCATGCATTAATCTTATCTGCTGCAAATTTACACAACTCACAGGATATTAATATGTGAGTCAGGCACAATAGCCTTTGTCAGTGCTGTTTAGTTCTTTATGCTGTCATTAGAGAAACACTACTTTGAACACAGTGTTGTGTCTAAAGTTGTAAGATGGGTAAACCAGGCCCAGTATTGAGTTAAGTTATCGCTGTTCTAAAGCTTGTGTAAGAAGGATTATTTAAGGTTTCTGCACTCCAGAAAAACATACTGCATTTGCCTCTCTTAGATGTGTCATTCCAAGCTGCAATTGTGAAAGTACCACTGTGATTTTTAGTGACAATATTCCCTCTGTAATACTCAAAAACACACCAGAAGATTCTCAGGTTTGATGTCACGGTGAACAATGTTAAGGCTGTGCAGATATTTGATAGCGCTGGCCAGGTTATACAGCATTCCGCTGGCGTCCCGCTCTGTGTATTTGTTGGAGGAGGTGATGGCATCAAAGAGGTCACCACCCTGTTCATGCACACACAATTTCATCGCTCATTCAGGGGCAATATCTGAGCAGTCGAGTTTAATGCAATCTAAAAAACTTTACTGAAAAGTTGTCTGTTTCTTATTATGTTTCTATAGTGTCTACACAGTATGAAGTCTAATAAAAGAAAAACATATTCACTACCATTTGGTGTTTGTAAGATATTTGTTAATGTTTTCGAAAGAAGCTCACCAAGGCTACATTTATTTGATCAAAAATATAGTAAAGTACATTATACAGTAATATTATGAAAGATTACTATAATTGAAAACAATACATGTCTATTTGAATATTTTAAAATGTAATTTATTCTGTAAAGGATTGTTTGATAAATAGAAATTTGAACTTGCAAAGTTTGAAATTTACATGAAATAGAAATCTTTTGCAACATTACACAAACACAATTGTCTTTACTATCACTTTTGATCAATTTAATGCATTCTTGCTGAATAAAATAAATTATATATGTAAAAAAAAACCTATTGAGCTCCAACAACTTAATTCATATTGCAACATATTTATATACGTAAATGTCAGATGTTTCACCTTGACCAGCTCCATGACCAGGTAAAGTTCACTGTATGTGTCCATTTCTTCAATCAGCAGAACAATATTAGGATGCTTCACTCTCCGAAGAATGGACACCTCATTCTGGATCATGTGTTCCTGTGAACCACAGACAAGCCGTGCAATGTAACGCGGATGATCCTGCATCATTATTTTGTGTGATATCAAAAATTGTGCATTGTGTTCACTGAATAGTATTTTTTAGAAATACTGTATATTGAAGTCGTCTCACCTTCCCTCTGCATTTGCTCTTGTTAATGATCTTCAGAGCGTACTCTCGGCCTGTGGATCTCTCCACACACTCTCGGACCACAGCAAAGTTCCCATCGCCAATCATTCGCCCCACCTTGTACCTTTCGGCTATGGAAGCAGGAACCTGAGGACAATCCTCCATCAGCTCAGCTAGAAGGAAAAAGATTTGGGATGTAACATTCAGATGAAGATGATAAAACAATAATGATAAACCTTCGTCAGAGTTTCCCAGGGTTCCTCACCTTCACTGCCTGGCCCATCGCCCTCATCCATGGAGCTGCACACCTTGGTGGAGGCCAGAGAGAGGGAGGAGCCACTGTGCTGAGAGCCCTGTCAGGGAGATTGAAGGGCCACTTTACAACTTTTTTCTTTTGGTTAGTAAAGAGACTGAACTCGTTTTGTCTTTTATTATCTGTTAGTTACTATATAAAACATAAATATTGATATTCTGTATTAAATAGACCCAAAGGGATCTTAAAGGGACAGTACATCCAATAATTTACTCACTCTCTTGTCGCTCCAAACCTGTATACATTTCTTTCTTCTGGTGACCATGAAATGAGATATTCTGAATAATGTCGATAACTAAACAGTTTCGGTTCCCATTGATTTCCATTGTATTTTCTGTCCATACAATGGAAGTCGAAAGAAATCTAAAGTTTTTCATTTCTAACATCCTTCAAAATCTTCTTCTTTTGTGTTTCACAGAAGAAAGAAACTCATACAGGTTTGAGGGTGAGTAAATGACAGAATTTTCATTTTTGGATGGACTATCCCTTTAAACTGAGGATAGGTATTGCAGAGGGAAATAAAAGGTCAGTTTCTATGGAAACAGCTTGGGTGTGCTAAGAATATTCAAGACTGGAGCGGGGCAGGCGAGGTGAAATTCAGCGATGTTTAATCCACTGACACCATCACATTTTTATTTAAACACACCATCAGTCAAGAATGAATCAATTTTCAGACAGACAATATTAGCTGCACTGAATATTATATTCAAATGTCTGTTTAGTTGAAACAATGTTGCATGTTTGTCTTCAGGTACTACATCTCCATTTCAGAGAATTTTCATTTTCAGCAGGCAATAATATTTAAAGGTATTCCAAAGAACCTTTTGGCATATGTATAGATTCTTGTATATAGACACTACTGTTCGAAAGTTTGGGGTCAGTAAGAATTTGTAATAATTGTGAAAGAAGTCGCTGTAATTATTTGATCAAATAGATCAAAACAATAATATTGTGACATATTATTACAATTTAAAATAACTATTTTCTATCTGAATAGATTAAAAAATTTAATTTATTCCTGTATGGCAAAGCTGCATTTTTAGCAGCCATTATGCCAGTAATAATAAAAAAAAAAAAAGTAATTCAGGATGAGCCCACCGTGTTAACACTGTTGTGAAAATCCAACTAGCTTTTAAAGAATATACAGCTAAATGAAATTTTAACAGAATGCAGAACACAAGCAAATAGATCTATTTTAACACCGTAAGTTAGCAGAGCAGACAAACAGGGTAATGTTGTCAAACCATATGATTTAGGTCTATCACCGAGAGTGGAAATGGAGCAGGCACACAGCCAGGTCAAGAAGCTTGTCTGTTGTTGCTAGGAAACATTTTGGGTGAACGTGGAATTATTTAGTATGGATGTGCTCAACTGCAATTCAGTGTGATTCAGCACTATATTGGCAAATTAAAGCACCTGGAATACAATTAGGGTCAATCGGAAAGGTGAAATTGCTTGATGGTTTTGCTTGATGCAGTGAAAGATATTGAAAATGTAAATAAGTCAGTTCCACTTGAGTTACATCATGTAAATGGTATTTTAAATCTCACCCTTCGTCTTCTCAGACTGGCTGGACTGGTGGGAGATGGACTGGGAGATTTGCCTGACCGTGGGGTCGAGAGCTGACTACCTGCTGTTCCGTTAGCTGAAATACAGAAAAACAGGATTCAGATATATATATATATTCTGTCCTGAACATTTTTATGTTCATTATAATTCTAATTAAATTAGATAAAATATATACTTAATTAAAATAAATTATGACAATATATACACAGCATAAGTAGAGGTAAGTACAGGCTACAGCAGACTAAAACTTACACAAAGATGCTCAATATTATATGTGCCATATGAGGCATTATTATATCAAGCATTGATCACTACAGCACTTTCACTACAAATAGATCCTTCAGTATGAGAAGCATAAACACAACGCTTAGAAATAGGATGAACACTAGTATCACAGCCATGAAAAATCTGCAATGAATAGATATTAACCCTTCATTCAAATGCAATGCAGTTCAAAACGAAATTATTTAATTTCTCTACAGCGCCTCAAGAAAAACAAAATAAAATTTGAAATATCTCACCTTTACGAGTTTGCAGCACAAACCCGTTTGTCCTAACTGCTAAAGAGTGCACTATATTGGCAAATTAAAGCACCTGGAATACAATTAGGGTCAATCGGAAAGGTGAAATTGCTTGATGGTTTTGCTTGATGCAGTGAAAGATATTGAAAATGTAAATAAGTCAGTTCCACTTGAGTTACATCATGTAAATGGTATTTTAAATCTCACCCTTCGTCTTCTCAGACTGGCTGGACTGGTGGGAGATGGACTGGGAGATTTGCCTGACCGTGGGGTCGAGAGCTGACTACCTGCTGTTCCGTTAGCTGAAATACAGAAAAACAGGATTCAGATCTAGTTACTGTTTGAATGTGAATCAAGACAGTTTGTTAAATCTCATACATCTGATCAAGAATGACATATTTCACCCCAAAATCAATTTGCTTGAAGAAAATGAAAGTCATTTTTATGATCATTGTTTGGTTGCATTTGCTTAATTGTCACAGAAATAATGCCAAAAAAGGTTCTAATTCTAAACCCGTTTGTCCTAACTGCTAAAGAGTGCAGCAGGCTGCCAGAGCAAACTGCGATTCCTCCTGCGCTCATAGTGACTGTTAGGCAGCGAGAGTATGAATGAGAGTGGGAGAGGAGGAGAGGATGTATGTAGTGTGTGTCTGCTGGCTGATCATAGGCAGCCTTCTGCGCACACCTTACATCATAAACAGCCACAGAGGGAGGGGTTTAGCTCATAAACATGCCATATCATGTGTGGGTGACTATAAAGATCTCCAAAGAGATCTCACAGCAAAACACTGTGAAGATGCTTCTGAATGGCGTAAGTGCAGCCGAGCGGATGACGTGGTGTTGTGAGTGGATTTCTGAAGTATCTCAAGCACTGTGTGAATACAAATAATGCTGTTTGAAGCTCAGATTACACAATGATTCAGAGATTCGGCCACTAATATGATTACATTCAAAGCACATTAAGTAACAAAGAAATCTCAGTCTCAGATATCAATGTTACTCTGTGTTTGTGTGTCACTGTGATCTGAATACCGTGCTCCCTCGCCATCTGTATACACTATCACAGCCTGACATAATTCAGCATGTGGAGAGAGTGAGAATGCATCATCGTGTTATTTTTGGGATGGAAAACAGATTTTAAAGACTATCAGATCAGCCGTCATTCATGTGTGTAATTACCGAACGGCAAACTTGGGAAAAACATTAGTCAGAGGATGATAGTGACAGGGAACAGCAGTGAGAACTTTACTTTCAAACTGGATCACACTTGATGTATTTACATATAGTTTTTGAGGGATGGATGTTGATGATTAGAGGGATTTTATAGTTTATACACTATAAAAATGGCCGTAATTGTAATGTAAAAGACTGTAAAAATGCTACAGTAAAACCATGTTAATTAGTTAAACAGTAAGTTTCCTTAATCTATAAGGCGAAAAACTGTAATTGATGGGACAGTTCATGTATAGGAAATGTTAACTGTTAAATGTACTGTTCATAAGAACAAGCCAACTTTAATTTACAGTGAAAAACCATAAATTGACATAAATCATACTCTCTGAGTAAAAAAGGTACAAAAGCTGTCACTGGGGCGGTACCATTTCAAAAGGTACACTTTTGTACCAATACTAATACTTTTTGTACTAATATGTACACTTTAGGTACTTATATTTATCTTTAAGGTACCAATATGGACTGTTTAGGTACAAAGGTGTGCCTTTTGAAAAGGTACCACCCCAGTGACAGCTTTTGTACCTTTTTTTCTGAGAGTGTATGTCTTTGATATGTCTTCTTAATGCTATAAATGTGTTATGATATACATGTTTCACTCAAAATAAGTAAAATCAAGTAAAATGGGTGGTAAATTAAATTTCAGGTTGGTTTTAAATAAGCCACAATAAAAATATGTTAAATAAAATATAATCAGCAAAATAAATCAACAGCCTTAACTAAACAACTAAATAAGTGATGGTTATCACCTGAATAGTAAAGGCTGTCTAGTCAACAGATCTTGCAGACGGGTGACTTGCACAAAGAACAAATCACACAAGCAACCAATGTACATCCAGCAATGTTGTTCTGGTTCGGGATATAAATCTGTAGATAAAAACAGACTCAGGACAGACACTGACCTCAAATGAGTCACTTAAAAAGAAAAGCTAAATCTTAAACTGCATCACACGATATATGATACTGTTTAAAATATATATAATTACATTAAAAATTAATTACATAATTATATATATTATATTATATATCATAACAATATATTATATTAATATATATTTATATTAAAAAATATAAAGCAATATAAGTAATAAAATTCATCCCATTCAATTATGATTAAGACAGTTGGCTGACCTGAAACCCAGAGGGAAATGATGACTAATATCATCTTACGTCAAACTTCAGTCCCTGATGTTTACAGTGTGGGAGCCACTATCCAGCAGTTTAATATCCATATTTCATTATTTTTACTTAGTCCACTATTATATCCTTGACTCTACTGTCTTGAAAAATCTGCAAAAGGCACCAGCAAATTATATATATATATTATATATATCAATGACCCAAAAATAACACTAGCGCTGTTTGAATGAGCTTTCAGAACAATAAAAAACAATTACTCTAGATTTGTTTGTCCAAGACTGCATGGCAGATCTCTGTCCTGTGAGACATTCTGCCAGAGGTTGGAAGCATTATATTTGTTATCAGGTACCTCTTTCCATATCATTCACACTCTCGCCTATCTGGTAGCCAAACAAGTCTGTTCTCCCAAAACAACATTAGCGATATCCCTCGTAAACAATTTAGCCCAATCACCTAGTTTATGGGCACCTATTTTGTTTCTGGACTATGTCAACCCTTTTCAAAGAATGAGGTTGATACTCAGTACCGGCTCATTACAAAACAGGACGCGCAGCGAGCCGGTTCTGAGGACTCATTTTGTACCTGGCTGGAATACAAAATTTGAAGAACAGGCCTAAGCTAAAGCACAATAATTGTTTTGATTTTGTTGTTGCTTTTGACATGTCTCTATATAGCTTACTGAGTGATAAAAGCTTGCCCGGATGAATGACTGGTGTTTGCCTGGAACATCAACATCAGGAAGTGATGATTCATGATCTATTCCGGGAAAAATAATGAAACCTAGATCAACTGGATGTTCAGGACAACATTTGGTGCATTTTTCTTTCAGTTAGGAATAGCTACAAATAATTCTGTTTGAGAGGCCTCTGTTAAACAGAAAACACACACTAGTGTACAGATGAACCACAGCATCAAAATAGGCTATCTGAGAACTGCATGTAGAGTGTCACAAATACACTGCAACTACACCGCTGTCAGAAATGTGCTAACATCGCATGTGTAGAGTAATACTGCAAAATGGTCCCAATGTGTCATAAACAGAGAAAAGCATCCAGAAACCTGGTGAAACAAAAAACAGCTTAAACCAATCTAAGGTGGTCTAAGATGGTCCCACAGCATGACCAGACCAGTTAGTTTTTAAAATATTCTGGGCACATTCAGCCAGGCAGAGTGCAAGATCAGCTAGTCAATGGCCAGATAAACTAGCTAAACATCATACTTCTATGAGAAGAATAGAATAGAATAGAATAGAATAGAATAGGGTGGAGCAAAATAGAAGAGAAGATCATAAACAGAATAGAATAGAATGAACAAGAAAAAAACAACAGAATGGATCACAATAAGAATAGAATAGAATAGAATAGAATAGAATAGAACAGTTGTACATAACTGGATTGAAAAAAGAATAGAATAGAACAGAACAGTCGTACATAACTGAATTGTAATAAGAATAGAATAGAACAGAACAGAATAGAATAGGTTGGAACAAAACAATAGAATAGAACAGAATAGAATCTAAATATTCTGGCTGTTTTAGCATTCTGGTGGTTTTAGCATCTGCTTGAGTGCTGGGTGAGCTAAAAATGCTTCAGTAATCTAATCATCCATTATCTAATCCATCTATCTAATCATTCACTGATATAAAAGTTGGTTGCCATTACCAGAACTCCAGCTAAGCAGCCAATCAGATTACATCAACACCAAACACAAGCATCACGGTGACTTGAACACTGAAACACCCCATTAAATGAATCTGCTAACTGACGCAAGAGCTCATTACAGATGGAGAGACTGAGAGTACATGACAAGTGTCGGCTGAATTAGTTCCCTAATTTAGGACATTACTCCTCAAACACATCTACTGAGAATCAAAGATATCTGAAGATAATTAAGGCTACAAACTACAACACTCCACACTCATCCAAGTTTGAAATTTACAACTTTGAATTCTGAGACTGCAATGAATCAACTGACAAGTACCCAGTTTAAATTTCACGAGTCACTCCTGCACATGAGTGTCAGCCTACTTCAGTGGGTATAGAAAAGAATCCCCCCCCTTAAAATAATCACTTTTTGTTGCTTTGCAACCTGAAATGAAGACGGACACAGTTTTTGTTTTATCCAGCTGTATTTACTCAGTGCAACTTATAACATCCAAGTGAAAGATATAACACCAACATGTCAGAAAATAATAAAGATGGAAAAAGGATCACCCCTTGTGTCAGTATTTTGTTGAACTTGTTGCAGAGGGCAGCAGATTTTACTCAATAATTTGACGGTATTTTGCCTTCCTGACAAGTGCTCCAGTCCCTGCTGCAGAGAAACACCCCTATAACAGGATATTACCACATCCAAGCTTTACTGTAGGAATGCTGTTATTTTGATGGTGAGCTGTATTGGATTTCCTCCAGACATATCGTTTGGTGTTGAGGCCAAATAATTCAATTTTAGTCTCATCTGCCTCAGAATATTCAAGGTGAGTTTTGGCAAAGCTCAGTCGTGGCTGCATGTGACCTTTCTTGAGGAGTGGCTTTTTCCTTGCAACCCTCCCATACAAGCCACACTTGTGGAGAATTTGTGACGGAGATCTTTTGACAGTGCCTTGCCACCCATACAGTAGTTGATTGTGTGCCATTGAGAAGGTTTGATTGAGTTTTCAAGTCATTTTTAGGAGGGGGGTGATCCTTTTTCCAACTCAGTGATTCTGGTTTTTAATTTTTAACATTTTTTCTGACATGTTGGTGTTATATCTTTCACTTGGATGTTATAAGTTGCACTAAGTATATAGAAGACCCATACCTGAGCTGCTGGAACCAGGGGACTTGCTCCTTCTTGAAGGTCCACCGCTGCGGGGAGAGCAGCGGCCCTGCATGGAAGAAATACGGCCATAGGACTGCGATTTCACCACCCTGCACTCTGAGAAAGCAGCAAAAGATAAACACATCTGAATTCAGTCTGGTTTTACTGCAGAGGCCTCAGCAAACCTTCTTCGGTTCCAGCTCTACACTATGAGCCTCCTGTCTCTGTAAAACACACCGAAGAACGTCTAATCTGTGTGGACGACCTGATGTCACCACCGATCAATCTACCGCAACCTCATTCTGACCCAAACATGTCAGCCTGACATGCCGGAGGTCTGATCAGAGGAGATCTGACAGGCTGGTTTGCTCTCGGACTCATAAATTCCTGCAACTGCTTCAGAGTTGCTGTAGGCCTCTTGGTCGCCTCTCTGACCAGTTTCCTTCTGGCTCCTTCATCCAGTTTGGAGTGACTTCCTGATCCAGGGAGGGTCTGTGTTGTACCAAATACCTTCCACTTCTTAATAATAGACTTCACTGTGCTTCTAGGCATTGATAAAGCCTTTGAAAAATTGTTTTGTTTCCATCTCCTGACTTGTGCCTGTCCACAACTTTATCCCGGAGATCTTTTGACAGTGCCTTGCCACCCATACAGTAGTTGATTGTGTGCCATTGAGAAGGTTTGATTGAGTTTTCAAGTCATTTTTAGGAGGGGGGTGATCCTTTTTCCAACTCAGTGATTCTGGTTTTTAATTTTTAACATTTTTTCTGACATGTTGGTGTTATATCTTTCACTTGGATGTTATAAGTTGCACTAAGTATATAGAAGACCCATACCTGAGCTGCTGGAACCAGGGGACTTGCTCCTTCTTGAAGGTCCACCGCTGCGGGGAGAGCAGCGGCCCTGCATGGAAGAAATACGGCCATAGGACTGCGATTTCACCACCCTGCACTCTGAGAAAGCAGCAAAAGATAAACACATCTGAATTCAGTCTGGTTTTACTGCAGAGGCCTCGGCAAACCTTCTTCGGTTCCAGCTCTACACTATGAGCCTCCTGTCTCTGTAAAACACACCAAAGAACGTCTAATCTGTGTGGACGACCTGATGTCACCGCCGATCAATCTACCGCAACCTCATTCTGACCCAAACATGTCAGCCTGACATGCCGGAGGTCTGATCAGAGGAGATCTGACAGGCTGGTTTGCTCTCGGAACAAATGCACAGAATCAATATGTCTATCAATAGGATTTTAAAATAGCTCAAAGTCTGGTGCATGATTCTGCACTGTAAATGTCAATGGCAATTAATTAATTTAATAAACCTGGATAATAAACAACTAATGTCATAATAATAGTTACAAATGTCAGTAAATTATGATACTGATAAATAAAAATGTTTTTTAACTTAATATGTTATTTTGTTTACAAAAAGCAGCATTTTGAAAATGGAAAACACATTTGCTGTTAATGTCAGTAAAGCTTTAAAATATATGCAAATGACAACACTGATACTGACAGCAGTAAACAAATGCTACAGCTAATTAATTAAAACAAACACCAGCGGAAGAGCTTATTATCTGAAGTTAAAACTTGAATTCTCAAATAATACAATATTGGACAGGATGTTTATTTGCCAAAAAACCTTATTTAAATTTATAAATCAAATTATTCATGTAACTAAGGTCAGTGGCACAGTTGTTGTTGGTCTTAGGAAAACAGTCATGCTTTAAAAAGGGATGGACACATTATCCATTATCTTACCACTCTCATCCAACAGGAAGTCATCCTGGTAGCGGAACTTCTCTGGGCCACAGGCAAGAAATATATCATCTTCACCAAAGAAGTCCTGAAGGCTTGCCACCTACAAAAACAGCAGAGGTAGACTTATTATATGAAAATACACCTCTGTTCAAAAGTTTGGGGTTGTTCACCAAGGCTGCATTTATTTGATCAAAAATACAGCAAAAACAGGAATATTGTATACTTTTCTATTTTAATATATTTTAAAATGTAATTTATTCCTGTGATGGAAAGCTGAATTTTCAGCAGCCATTACTCCAGTCTTCAGTGTCTCATGATCCTTCAGAAATCATTCTAATATGCTGTTTTGCTTCTCAAGCAACATTTCTTATTATTGTCAATGTTGAAAACAGTTTGCTTACTATTTTTGTGGAAACTGATACTTTTTTTTCAGGTTTCTTTGATGAATAAAAAAAAACAGCATTTATTTGACGACAGAAATCATTTGTAACATTATAAATGTCTTTACTTTTGATCAATTTAATGCATCCTTGCTGAATAAAAGCATCTAACTGTCCCCAAACTTTTGAACTATAGTGTATATTTTCTTTCTTCTTTGAGGTCCTAATACAGATAAACATATTCAATTTCACTTATTCACAATATAAAACTCACTAGATATAACTGAAAAAAAATATGATGTAGCTTGTAAATAGATGCATTTTCTAATGAAATACAAAATACTTAGCCTAAATAGTGTAGAAATTAGGCTAAATAAATGAATTAGGCTGAAATAGGCTAAATAAAACAATCCATTCATATAAAGCCAATAATTCAAGGCTCAGATGTAAAGGTCGGTTTGATCAGTGTCTCAAACAGTGTTTCACATCCTCATTCTAAAGGTCAGTGATCAGTGATTCATACAGCTGCATGAATGAGAAGGCAGTTTAGCATTTCACTTTAATGTATCATTTACACATACCAATGAGAACTTGTTTCTGTAGCAACAGTGACGTCATCACCAAGATCAGAGTAAGATGATTCAGTCAGGAGGCACAAAGTGAGCTAATGCTCTCACAGCTGGGTGCAAAAAGAGTGAATGATCCGATATTCAGTGATATTATAAATGGTATCTCTGATGAAAGCAGCAAAAGTCAGATAATAAGCCTGCTACAGTATGTGTGATATTTTGTGTGCAACACAGCAGAGGTGTGTTGAGTGTTCCACCTAATATTTTAAAGGCAAGACATCTGTTCTTAATTATTACGCACATAGTAACATTAAAGTGAAGACTATTATAACAATCACAGATCTAATGAATTCTAATGACAAATCTAATTCAACGATTCATTATGTATAGTGGTTGATTGTTATAAAAGCCATTACTTCAGTGGTAAATATCCCAGCCAGAGAGAGTCTTCATAATAAGCTCCGTTTTTTGTAGTTTTGTTCTTGTTTTTGATTCATTTATTACTCCAGTATAGAGCATTAGAATATAAGTGTCATTTTGAATGGTCATCAAAATGAGGAATACGCTTTTAAGAACCAGATGGTGCAGAACAGCAACCGTCCATTACTGGAGACTGACTGTCTGTGCCGTAAAGATTTAAAAGAAAGGGAATAAACTGTTCCGTCATTTTATAACAGTAGCAATATTGACAGTCTTTATGGCAAAGCTGGGAATCTGCGAAATCTGGCAGTCTGCTCAAAAGTTGTGTCTGTCGGGTTGTGCACGAAATTTCACCTTGTGCTGCAGCACCACCTTCTGGAAAGCATGCAAACTAACAACAATATAAGCAGTAGACATAATACAGTCTATTCCAACGTCTACAGCAGTGATATTTGGTTTAAATATTCCAATACATAACAAGCCCAAAAACTTACACTGGCTGAAAATTAAACAGCACAGAAAACCAAATAATGAATTTAAACGTGCCATTTTCATCCGAGCGATCATTTCTCATGATCACCACAAGATGGTGCAGACACCTCATTTTGCAACTGCCACCAACAAGGACTACATAACTAATACTTACAAGCAATACTTATTCTTCTTCTGCCCAACATTTCAGCATTTTCAGCATCTCTGATGCCCCTGAAGCCCCTGGAGGCACCTGCCATATCTCAGCACCAAATTATCATAATAATATGTGAATGGGCTTTTTAAAATTGGGACAGTATACAGAAGCAATCTTTAAAATCCTGATGACACCACTCACATTTAGAAGATGAAGAACAGTCTAGTTAATTAGTAACATTCACACCATCAACATCATTCAATTACATCCAGATAAACAAACTTAAAGATCAGAAGATCAGAAAAACCTAAGATGGTCTGGAAAACTAGTCTCCTTACATTTTACTTTGATTGCAAAAGGGTAAATCTCCTGGCTTTAAGTCAGTCTGTTGGCAGGAACAGTTTGTACCAGGCAGAAGCCGTAAAACTCAAAAACACGCTCAAATCTGACGAATTATGTTTTTAATCCATATCCGCCATCTGAAGTAGTGACTAAAACTGGCTCTACAAGTAAATAAAATTGGATTCAAGTGAAACGATGCCAGGATACGATGTACTCCATTTCTTCCTAAACCTCTTAAAATACAGCAAAATGATCTTCTAACCTCAGTTAACTTCCTGTTGACTGGTTGACTTTATGTCCTAACAAAGTTAGTAGATAGCAGCGGGTAGCATGTTCAGAATGAAATAATTGGTCAAGAATATTTAGTTATCCATTACTGTAAGCATCAGCTATGAGGATGTATCATAAATAAACCAGGGTGATACAGAGATATGACCTTCTCTAAAGGTTCCATAATTGTGATTAACAGCTACATGCTGAAGTTCATGAGCACCTCCTGCAGGTTTATGTCCTGTTTGACAGGAAGCTTTTTACTGGGTTTTTCTCTCAGTGCATTCCTACCATGTGGTTCATCTGCGAAGCCATTACTGACACTTATCTACAGATCCATAATGCAGAAGTATGCAAAGCCTTTAAGAGTTTGGGGAATGATCTTTGACTAAATTAAGCTTTCTTTTCACCAAATCATGAAGCAGAGTGTGTAATTCGACAAACCCTACTTGCAAGCATTCATGCATAGGTCACAATATCCACATCAGCTGCCTTCTTATTTTTCATATTTCATAAGGCTATTTGTCTCCTGAATAAATATGGGTGTTATGAACTGATGCACATGAATAATTCACTAGATTCTCAAGGATTCTGTTAAAGGCGTGTGAGGGGAAGCTTTTCTGTTGCTTAAAACCACAAACTCATTCATAATAATCTATAATAATGTACACAAATAAATAAATAAATATTCAATTCCATTTCATTACTGAATACAATGACATGGCAAAAACTGTAGTTAGTAAAGTAATCCATTACAGTACACATTTTAGGTAATATAATCTCACCGTCGTTTGATTACTTTTAGATTACTTTTTAAAAATATATTCCATTCTTTGCAATCAACAACATGAGAAGGATCTGCAGGGGCAAGAAGTTTTAAAAGATAGAAAAAGGATAAATTATGAAAAATGTATAGTCATTTTGTAAACAATATATAATAATGTAATCAATAAAAAGTAACTGTAGTCTGATTGTGAGCATTTTAAAATGTAATACAATCTAAACACAAGTATTTAAAAGTAATCTAAAAGTAATCTATTCAAAGGTAATCTAAAAGTAATTTTTGGAATCTGATTACGTAATCCAGATTACATACAATACAGTTACTGCAAATATTATATATATGTGTGTGTGTGTGTGTGTGTGCGTTACATCTCAAAACATGAACAATGGTACTGATAGTACAAACTAGGCCTTGCCCTTGATGTATTGGATCATTTATAGTCTTTCGCACTGTGCTGTCCCAAATTTTCATTACACTGAGACATATGCTATCACAGTTTTAGATCACCTGTGTGGGGGTTGTCTCCCATTTCACCAGGAAGGATTTTTCTCAGGAAATACATTAGCATATTTGCTAGAAATAGTCTGTCTGGGTTCTGAGGGTGTGTGGGGTCTATCGCTGGAAGCATAAGGGAAATCCAGGCCAGGTTGACAAAGTGTACTGACTAAATGCTGAGAGGAACATTGGATTAAATTTAATCTACCAATATTATGTTATCATAAGGTAACTACATTTCTTTTTGTTTTGGTTGAAATTATGTGCAAATTAATCTGGTTACTTTTATTGAATACGGTTCATCACTGCTGTATTGAAAGGATGCTAGCAGCACAACCTGAACCAAACTCACCCAAAATAAAAATGCAGTCATTATTTACTCACACTCATGTAATTCCAAACCCATATGCTGTTATTTTGTTCTTTGGAACACAAAAGGAGGATTCTGAAGAATATTCACATAGTTATTTTCCATTCAACTGTCCATAGTGACCTTAGGTGCTACTATAATTCAACCCAACTCCCGCTTCGACTTAATAGAGACAGAAGAATTACAGTTCAAACAAAGCCAGATTCTCCTACAGCAGACATCTGTGCATTATCATCTGCCACAAAGCAAAATAATATTCTGATTTCCTAAAACGAGTCACTACAATATGGACAATTTCCCTGCCATAGAACTGAGATCTACATATTCAGTAGAGCAGGAAAGGCAAGCCAAACACTGTAAGATGGTGCGGCTGGGAGAGTATTGATTTCCTCTCAGCATAGACTCAGTGACACAGCAGCAGCTGCACAGGCCGCCACATGTCCCAGCAATAACCCACAGATCATTGATCTGGACAGACTCCCGCTGTTAATACTCAGAAGCTTTCATCAGGCAAACGCAGCCAGCCTGTGCTCACCGATGCCATTCAGGACCTCTTAAACACAGGTTAGAAACACATGGGCAAGACTGTGGTGGCGAATCTTTAAGACACGGACTGGTAAAACTATAAATGAATAGTAGGCATGGTAACACTTTAGTATAGGGACCAATTCTCACTATTAACTAGTTGCTTATTAGCATGCCTATTATTAACATATTGGCTGTTTAATACTTATAAAGCACATATTCTGCATGACCATATTCTACACCCCGAATCCTACCCAATATCTAAACTTAACAACTACCTTACTAACTATTAATAAGCAGCAAACTGGGAGTTTACT